TTTTTTTTTTTTTTTTAATAGATTCATAGCATTTTGACTCACATCAATAAACATTGATGTAGCATTATATCTCATGTGAATAATAAAATATACAAACTTTGTAGTCATTCACACGCCTTTAAATAACAGTAAGGTCCATGTAGATGAAAACGAAGATTCACCCACATGATTTACCTTGTTGTTTATGTTTGAGAACTTCAGTTAAGTACTCCAACGATCATTAAATAACATTAAATACCATGTGGGTAAAAATGAAATATTTACCCGCAAGAACAAACTACCTCACCCCTCACTAATTCTTTTACCAAGGGATCCAACTGTCACGAGACCTTCACCTCTGAACCTAGCAATGCAAAGGCACTCTTGCCCACATAGAAGAGACTTTCAACAAAATAGATCCATGTTGCTGAACCTTTGTATTTTAATAGTGTTTAGTACCATCTAACCATAAACATGGGTCACTAACGCTGGTTAATAGATACAAAGGGTTAATAGATACAAAGGGTTTGCGGTTAACATTAAGGAAAGAGAAACACCATTGAAAGTTGATATTTTCCTCTTACTCGAGAGTTAGCACATGCTTACAACATATCACAAACTGCTTCATATATTTGGAGGTGGCCAAATCTTCCCAAATAATTCCTCAACACGCTTCACCTGATCAACATATCCATCCAGACCGGAAGCCAGAAGCTCAACAGATGCAGGTCCCATTGATGAAGCAAGGCTTAATTGGTCCCACATTTTGAGCTGGACATAGAGACAATATCACAATATCAGTCAGCAAGCTTTGTATGATGCCATGGATAATGGAAACAGAGAAATTCTAATGAACTAACTTGGAAAAGTCACATACAGGGTTGAAATACACTCCCAAGATTTGTTAGATTTCTATTAAGATGTTGTGAAAGTGTTTTTTCAGTCAAATACGCACTTAATTTAGTAGTCAACAACTGCTTAAAACTTATAAGACACCATAGAGATGCATTCTTTCTCACATTTGAAGGGATAAAAACATAGTGAAAGGAAAGGGCATTAAACTAAAGAGAAGTATGCATGCAAGTGATTTCCCTCGATGGAATGACCATCTTAGGTGCTAGCAGTGCGGATTGTGAAGTGGTGCTGTGGTTAAACTAGGCAGATAATAGCACTAGCAAACAGCTGGAATAGAGCAAAATGGTTGGGGTGGTTGCAGGAACCAAGTCCTAGTAATGGCAGTGGACGTGATTATGTTGTTAGTGGAAGGGATATAAATAAGAATATGTTTCATCCATTAAAATTCCCACAAAGGATGATAATGGCAATTGCAATAGCAGATTTCTTCACTAGGGTAGCTTAGGTGGTTCTGCAACCAACATAAAAGCAAAATAGTCAAGTTGTCAATTAAAGCAACATCAGAACAAAGGAGGCAATAATCAGACATTCCCACTGAAAAATGACAAAAGTGTCTTTGTATGAAACTTTAGCTACACATGGGCCTGAGGTGATATGGAAACTGGACAACCCCTGCTATACAGCTTTGAGTCATTAAATACATGTAAGTCGAAGACAAATTCCAACATAGCCATATTAGAATCAGTCAGCTCATTTTTTCCTTTTTACATGAAATGCGGCATGGTGATAGAAACCACTTAGATTCACATAAACTACGTCTATGATTAATGATTAGTGGTAGGTACTAGTAAATTTTGGTTTCACAATTTCACTCCCTAGTCCCTACATATATGATTGTTAAATTATAATTAAATGGCTGTTTAATTCCACATAACTTGAAATTAAGTATTAATTAACTGTTAGTTGATGGCCAAAAAAAAAAAAAGAAACTGTTAGTTGAAAAAAGAATATGAGAAGTTGGAAAGAAGTCAGACCTCTTAAGTAGTGAAGATATAGTTGGTAGCAGTCTGTGGCGATAACCTCCTAACAAAGGAGTACTTCTCATCAGGAGCAGTAATGGATTCCTTAAGCGACTGTAATACCTTCAAGGGTGTTATGATATAATCAACCCTGAGAAAACACAAAAGGAACAAGAAAGAAAATATTGAGTTCCATTGATTCATATTTTCATTTAAACGATCAGAGGTGAAAGATATTGTACCCCAAAAGACTGAAAAAATCCTGCTTGTTCCGAACTGCTGCTGCCATCAACTTTGATTTGTAGCCATATTTGTGAATGTAATTATAAGCTTTAGACACCTGGAGAGAAAAAGTATAGATACATTTGATTCAAACATCATTGCTTTTAGCCCAATTGGTCTCAACAATGTCTAAAATCATCTCTAAAATCCAGCAATAAAACTAAGAATCTGATTTAGATGTAAATCAGATGTTGATGTAATTGAGAACACAGCAGAACAAAGTAATTATTACTCCCATAAGAAACAGTAACAAATGTAGTTATTCAACTAAACCCTATAAGCCATTGCGAGAAGTCTAAAAATCTAAAGATAAAAAGTTGGGTTGACTAACCAAAGCCAAACCAGGATCTTCCCCTCTGTTAAGAGCAGCTTCAATCTCAGAATCACCAGTATGTTTGCGTGCCAGTCCTAAAGGAATCAAAACAACATGTGCTTAAATGCTACACAAAATGGCTGCTTGCTCAATTAATATGTTAACCCAAGGTAATAAAAAAAAAAATTACCCGAATACGACCAACAAAAATCTGAATAACAGAAGTGCCAGCTTGGGCTGCAGCAGCTGCTTGAGCAAAGCTGAAGAAATATGACAACCAGAATAAGTCACATGATTAGCACAGATATAAAGTTCATCCTGAGACAATGTCCATATAGAAGCTCATTTCCATCATTATTAGTTGAGCAATATCAATGTTCACGTACCTGTATACAAAAGTCAAATGCGTCTGTATACCCTCAGATTCCAGCAATCTAGAGGCCTCTATTGCCTTAACAGGAAGCCAAAACAAGAAAACAAGAATAATTGACTTTTATGTACAAAGAGAATATGGATAGCTTAATACCATTACAAATGCAATATCTGTCATTCAGGTGCTTACTTGCCAGGTTGAAGGAATTTTAAACAGTAAACGCTCAGGAGGAACATTAATTTCATTGTACAGTTTCAACAAGTCATGCACCTGCATATTTTGATGAAATGCCAGCTTTCAGTCTACATTATCGGGGTTTAAAAGAATGATAAGAACCACTGAAACATATCAAAGAGAAAAGTGAGTTCAGCAGTGCAGAAAACAGAAATTCTAGATTCAAATAATAAGTCAATTCAGAAGGGTTCTAGATTGCAAGATAAAACCAGAAAGAGAGAACCAGAAGCACAGCATTGTCAAAATGGTAGAAAAGAGTAACAACAATTCTACATAAGTGAACAAAACTGATGGCATTACAGATCCTATGTAAACTCCTATTTATGAAAATATAATCACTTTCCTGGAAGCAAAGTAACAAAAAAGAAAAAAATTCTGAAGATCAAGCTTGAATAAAAACCTCAACATAGAAACAGTAATAAATTTTTACAACAAAATGAATTTTACTGATGCCAGCATAAACCAAACAGGAAAAGTTCAGCACCAATAACATGGTGTCAATGTGCAAGAATTTAATACCTTCCTAATAATACCATGAGTGTCGTAAGCAAGACGTGGATCGACTTCCGTTGAAACTCAACCAGGAACTAGTTTTGTCAAATCACCACCAACATTCACTAGTGCCTACCCTTTAATGACAAAAGACTAATAAGTAAACAGTCCAATACAAGACTTCTCTCTTACTCACTGGCTAGGGATGCGAACAAATGAACAATCAGCATCAATAAAAGCCCTCTGCATTTCTTATCAGCAAAAAGAATAACAACCTTGTTATAGAAACAAGACAATCTCAATTCGGGGTTGTCCAACGAAGAACAACTTGAATCCGCTAAAGCCATATCCACAGCATTCTAAACATATGAGATAACATATTATTTTAATAAATAACAAAAAGATTCATAAATAAGAACTACATCTTCAATTTGGAGACTAATTGCTTACCCTAAATATGGTATCAGGAAGGCTCAATATACCCAACAGAAGCGATGAGCTAACTGTAGCAGCAGTTGGTGGAAACCTATAATAATTGGCAAAAAACGAGAAAAAAAAAAAAATCTATCATATACTAACCTCTAAATTTCCTGCCATTTTTTTTTTTTTTGAAACAAATTTCCTGCCAAATTTAATCATGACTGAAATGGAACAAAACAATAATATCAAACAGTTTTCTCTACTTGAAGTTCGTTTTCTCTTTAGAAAGTTTGAGAGCCAAAATTAGTAATTTCAATTTTCAACAAGTTCATACAATTCTCCAAGCAAAAAAAAAAAAAACAGCATTATAACCAAAATTTAAAGAAGAAATGAACGATTACCTTTCGAAATCATCGAAGATCACGGTGTCAGGTACAATCTCACTGAAGGTTGATACAGCGCCCAATTCAGTGCTTAAACCTGAAATCAAAGAAGAAGAAAATCAAAACCATTAGGAATGCGAAAACAAGCTGCTTAGGCAAAGATCTCAAAAGAAGAGAAAGAAAGAAGGAAAAACCGGTATCGAGCGAAGAAGAGGAGCCAGTAGAAGCGCGAATGACGGGGAAGGATCTCGGCAGCTTGAAGATTACAGAAGGAGCGGTGGATCC